GGGAGGCAGAGGCAGGCAGATCTCTGTGAGTTCAAGGCCAGCCTGGGCTACCAAGTGAGTTCCAGGAAAGGCACAAAGCTACACAGAGAAACCCTGTCTTGAAAAACAAAAACAAAAACAAAAACAAAAAAAAAAAAATGAGAGAGGATGTGGTGTGTAGTATTGAAGGGCGGGGTCTCGTCTTCCTTAACAGGACCCAGCACAGATAATTGGGAATTCATAAGCCTCGAAGCAGCCCAGAGTGGTTTCCTTTGGGACTTGGGTCGGGGACAGCTACCCACCCTCATTCTATATGCCTCAAAACTGACTGAGCCATGCCCATGTGTTACTGCCGAAGTAAGAAAACAAAATTGAGGTGGTGAGGTAAAAGCAGTATTCATGTCCAATGCGAATCACCCCAGGATCTCACCTATGGGCCTCCTGGGAGACTGTGAGTGGGCCATGCTTTCCAGTGGAGCACAATCCTGGGTTTCCATGGGGGCCTGTTTTCAGCTGTTAGCATTCAGATCAGCATTCAACGATCCATGCTAATTCTGTATCCTCCCTGCCGGAGCAATATCCCAAAGGCATAATAAAGAGCAGGGACTCCCTACGGGTTCCCAGGTGCCTCTCTTCTTCGGGATAAAAACAGCATGATGTCTGCTGGTAACCTTTCCTAGTCAATTGTGTGGTCTGGGAGGGATTAAGTCTCTGTCCTGCCAATACACTTCAAAGGAATATCCGAGTCCCCATGAAACCCTATTATACCCAGATTTACCAAGAAATCTGGGCAGGAATGGGGCTGATAACCAACATTGTTTATAAAATTAGGCATGTTGATAAATGAAGTAAAACTTCCAAAGGCTAGAGGAGGCGTGCACCTGCTCTATATCTTCATTAATAGCGTCCACTCAGGATGAATGTCAGTCTGTCTGTCAAGTTCACCAAGCTGTGTTAGATGGGAATGTGGACCACCACCATCCACCTGCCCAAGCGTCATTCACTGTGTGGCATCAGCAAGTGTATCTATGACATGAAACACACACACACACACACACACACACACACACACACACACACACACACACACGATACCCCAAGAGGAAAAAAATTAGTTGTTCAGAGCAAAGGGTCTGAGTCAGGTCCATGTGACCCCTTTGCCCCAAGCTGATAAGCTGAAGGGTTGGTCTGTCTTCTTCGAGTGTTCTGGTGTTTATGTTGAGTAAAACCATTTTGTACTTTCTGACCAGAGACATCCAAGACCTCCTAAAAGTCAGAGTTTGCACAACCGTGGTGTTGAGTTCCTCCAGCCCACACACAGGGGACGTTCCTTAGCCAGCGTGGTGGTGGGATGTGATGGGAAGCCGGACCTTGGGGCCCCGCATCCACAGCTGACCTCGTGCCTTGCAGGGTGAGTCTCCAGTGCCAGCTGCCATGGGCAAGCAGAACAGCAAGCTGCGGCCTGAGGTCCTCCAGGACCTGCGGGAGCACACGGAGTTCACCGACCACGAGCTGCAGGAGTGGTACAAGGGCTTCCTCAAGGACTGTCCCACCGGCCACCTGACGGTGGACGAGTTCAAGAAGATCTACGCCAACTTCTTCCCCTACGGCGACGCCTCCAAGTTCGCCGAGCACGTCTTCCGCACCTTCGACACCAACAGCGACGGCACCATCGACTTCCGGGAGTTCATCATCGCGCTGAGCGTGACCTCTCGGGGCAAGCTCGAGCAGAAGCTGAAATGGGCCTTCAGCATGTACGACCTGGACGGCAACGGCTACATCAGCCGCAGCGAGATGCTGGAGATCGTGCAGGTACCGGCACCCCGCAGGGCCGCCAGCTGGAGCACAGGGAGCCAGCAGCGCACGCACGCACGCACGCACGCACGCACGCACGCACGCACGCACGCACGCCCACCCAGCTCTGGGCTCTTTCTGATCACTATGACACCAGCTCACTCCTCAGCCCGCTTGCCACCCTGCACACTTAAGGATTGCAGGTTCTTGCAAAAGCATCACGGTAAAAGCCAAGCCTTCACCCATGGCTTGCCAGACATCAGGCCCCCCAGCTGTGCTTACCCGTCAGGTTTATCCCCCACCCCACCTCCCATCCTACACAAACGGGTCATTTTCTGCTTTTAATGAGACCCGAGGCTAGGACAGGTGACTGCTTAAGAACGATCAGAGAGCAGCCGGCGTTGGTGGCGCACGCCTTTAATCCCGGCACTCGGGAGGCAGAGCCAGGCGGATCTCTGTGAGTTCGAGGCCAGCCTGGTCTACAGAGTGAGATCCAGGACAGGCACCAAAACGACACAGAGAAACCCTGTCTTGAAAAACCAAAAGAAAGGGGGGGGGAGTGATCTGAGCAAGAATTGGGAACATGGCTTAGTAGGTAAGGTTCGAATCCCAGCACCCACGTAAAAGCCAGGAGTGGGTAAGCATGTCTGTAACCCTAGAACTAGGAGACAGTTGAGTCAGGACCCAGAAGCCTGCTGACCACGCAGCCTCACAAAAATGGCAAGCTCCAGATTCAGTAGAGGACAAAAGGGAACGAGGTGGACACCAATATTCCCCTCTGGCCTCTGCGTGGGTGTTTTTGCACACGTATGTAGAACTTACAATTAATTTAGCTGTCTCTGTGGGTCGGGGCCTCCTGTAGAAATCAGAATGGCACCATAATGGATGAGGCAGTGGGCAGTCCTGCATGGGAATGATGCTCATATGCCCGCTGCGTCCTTCCCCCTCCATGTTCTAAATCATCTCTGTGTTTGGGCCAGTGAGATGGCGCTGTGGGAGAGGTGCTTGCTGCCAAGCTTGACAGCCCGAGTTCGATCCCTACAACCCACATAGTAGGAAAAGAGAACCAATGCCCACAGGTCGTCCTCCGACCTCCACACGAGATCATCTCCCCCCACCACACGCACACTAAATGAATGAATAAACAAAGAGATGTTGCGTGTCCTGCTTGACCCAGCAGGTACAGATGTTAATGACGCACTGTATTATTTGGGAATAAGAAAAAGTCTGTACCTCCAGTAATATTTCTTTTCCTGGAATATTTTCCATCTGCAGTTTGTGGAACCTGCAGATTTGGGACCCACAGGTAGGCAGGGCTTACTGTACTTGCCCCTGTGACCTCCCTGCTCAGCATTCCCAGCCCCCAGAGATCCTTTGCGCATGTCAGTCACTCTCCCCACCCTCTCCCAGACCAACTGTCCTGTTATTCCCCCATCCCGGCCGAGCTGTGCCCTGCGCTCTAAAACATCACTTAACTTTTTCTGGCTCCCTTTGCTCTGATGAGAGACGGGTCCTGACACCCACAGGGAGCACTCTGCCCTGTCTGTGCTTTTGGGTGGGGTGAGGGAGAAAGTCCTCACCCGTCCTCCGTCCTCCTGAGCACACTCACGGATGCTCCTTTGCAGGCCATCTACAAGATGGTGTCCTCCGTGATGAAAATGCCCGAGGATGAGTCCACGCCGGAGAAACGAACAGACAAGATCTTCAGGCAGATGGACACAAACAATGATGGTAGGGGGGCGGGGGCGGTGTGGGGGTGGGGTGAGGTGGGAGCACTGTATGTTTGTGTGAAACTGTTGATGATGCAGATGTGTTGGGGATGGGCCCTCCGCAGCCCTGGCCCTCCCAAGCCGGCCCTGCCCCTTCCTAAGCCTGCTGTTCCCCTTCCTCTCCCACTTGATTCCGCTATGATGGGAGAAGCCTGGCATTCAGGTCAGGGACACCTACCTTGCATCCTGTGCCCTCCCCATGGCTTTATGGCCATGGGCATGTCACTTTGTACCTCTGAGCTGCAGGCTTCATACATGTTGTCTTAGTGAGGGTCGCTATTGCTGTGATGAAACACCATGACCGGAAGCAACCGGGAAGAGAAAGGGTTTATTTCACCCATGCTTCATACAGCAGGTCACCATCAACGGAAGTCAGGACAGGAACTCAAGCAGGACAGGAACCTGGAGGCAGGAGCTGATGCCGAGGCCATGGAGGGGTGCTGCTTACTGGCTTGCTCCTCATGGCTTGCTCACTCTGCTTTCTTATAGAACCCAGGACCACCAGCCTAGGGATGGCCCCACTCACAATAGGCTGGACCCTATTAATCACTAATTAAGGAAATGACCTACTGACCAGGCATAGTGGCGCATGCCTTTAATCCCAGCACTTGGGAGGTAGAGGCAGGCAGACCTCTGCAAGTTTGAGGCCAGCCTGGTCTACAATGAGTTCCAGAACACCCAGAGCTACACAAAGAAACCCTGTCTTGAAAAACCAAAGAAGGAATGTGTCCTACCAGCTTGCCCACAGACAGATCTTCTGGAGGCATTTTCTCAACTGAGGTCCCCTCCTCTCTGAGGACTCTAGCTTTCGTCAAGTTGACATAAAATTAGCCAGCCCGTGTGATAATGGAGAGAGTGGTCTTCCTATTTCCACAAGGGTATTTAGGGAGGGGAGGCAAGTATCCTTGATGGCCTGAGAGGGGAGAAGTGAGAAACTGAATCAAAGGACTTTTGAGTCATGGGATCCTGAGCAGCCGACTGGGCTTCTCTTGCCATCACCCTGAGATGTGAGGCACCCAGATACTCATGGGGGTCATCAGGCATGGAAGCCTCATCAGTCTGTGGCCACAGTACCTAGGACTCTGCGGTCCTACCACGGCTGTAAAAAGGTAGGTCTCGGAAGGAGGGGAGGCGTGAGAAGTCCATGAGGATGTGTCTTCTCTGCTCGGCTGTGAGCTTCTCCTGGGACCCCAGCAAGGTCGAGGTAACCGCGCACGGTGAGTTGATTTCTGCCTGTCTGTGGCTTTGTAGAGGCAAGACTGATTGGCTTTTGTTCCACCAAGAAATGCAACATTAAGGGAAAGAAAAGGCTCCCCGGGCTGTGCTGAGATTAAATGTACGCTAATGCACAAGTAAGTGCCGGGCCGGGCCTCAAGTGCTCGGCCCAGGTGAGCTGAGGACGGAGCTCAGCAGGACTCGGGGTTCCTGTGGAACTGTAGACAGCCCAAAGCCTTCCAGACAGCAAGGAGTTGCTTTTCAAAACACGTTCACACACAAAGCAGGACAGCCTCCTGCCTAGTGCGGCCTGTGGGCTGGTTTCAAAGGCCTGCTTCTTCACTCTCCTGGGCATCGTGACTCCAGGGCTTTGATTCCGACACACCACGTCGAGGCTTGGCCATTTCCCAGGCTTGGCTTGCTTCTCCGTGAAATGGGGATAAGCCCCCTTGCATCATCGGTGTGCGACTGGAGCAGCACCATGCCGATGGCACACTCTTACTAAAAGCTGTGGCTGTTGTTCCCGCTTGCCAGGGCCAGGAGCCCTGCCAGCTTCGGAGGGTGGACTGCGTCCCCGCTGTACATGTCCCCGTTGTCGGGTTCGCTCCTGAGGCCACTGGACAGAGAGGCCTGCCCTGCGAGCCTGCGGCCAGTTGCTGGCACTCAGAAGGGGAGAAGCCGGGTCCAGAAAGGGACGGCAAAGGCAGCCGGGGATCCGCCTCTCCTCCCCATAGCTGCCAAGAGTCTGCAGGAGGAGGCAGCGTGATGGTTTCCTCCAACTTGACTCAA